TGAGAAAGTCATTATGTTTTAGTCTTATTTAGGTAAATTACCCTTTAGAAAAATGAGATATTTATGGAATCAATTAGTTTTGGAAACACCGTGATATTATGACTTTACAATTAATCAATTTAATTGAGAGGATAAAGCCACCTAATTGAAGAAAAAATTAATACGGATGGCTGGTCAACAGAAGTGGATGCTTTGATTATTTCTTTTCCTAATTTGCCCTTTTGTATTACCTTTATCAATAAAATGGCACGCCACATTAAATGGAGCCAATGTCGTTACTTTTTTTTTGCATCAATGAGAGCCTTTAGATTTACAAGATCAATGCATATCATTTATTCTTATTTCTTTCATTGAGACTCATTCTTATTAGAACCAACCCCTATATATATATATATATATATACACACACACACACACACTAGCAGGGCACACACTACGTGTGTGTTTGCCCAAGTATGTTTAAGAAAGGGTTGCATTAAATAAGGAAAAAAACATTGATCCATAGAAGGTGTGCATGTAGCAGTTCAAAACATGTATACTATTTTACAAAAGGGGTAAGGATATGTTAGGGAATGCCAATTACTAAGTCTTGTGAAACCAATTTATTCAAAAGGTTCATGTTCATATGAGCTACCCTTCGGTGCCATAACCAAGTGTCTTCCTCTTTACTCATGAGGCACTTAGCAAAGCCGGAGGGAGATTTGTCTAAGTTAACCATATAAATGTTATCGATTCTATCACCACGTAGAATGACCTTATTGTCACTAAGGCGTTCTACCGTGCATGATTTTGAATCGAAGGTCACACGGTTTCCCTTGTCACATAATTGACTTATGCTCAAGAGATTGTGTTTAAGACCTTTAACAAGCAAGACATTATCTATAGAGGAGTTTTCAGATTTACCTACTGAACCAACGCCAATGATCTTTCCCTTGCTGTTATCTCCAAAAACTACGTTTCCTCCTTTAGCAGGTTTGATTTGGAGAAACTTGGATGCATCCCCGGTCATGTGCTTGGAGCATCCGCTATCAAGGTACCAAAGTACACTTGATGCCTTCAAGCACACCTATGAATCACATCAATGAGTTTTAGGTACCCAATTTACGTTGGGTCCTCGTGTGTTAGGTGTGTGATGGTAGTGTGCTTGATTTTGTGATAGATGCCTATGCCTAGTGTAACAAACGGGAGCAATATGGCTTATCCTATTGAAATAATGGCAAACTACGTTGGGGTTGTACATATGCCTAGGTTCATAATAATTCGAAGGCTTAACCATTTTGTTCCTATTTTGTGAAAACGATGGTTTTTGGAAATTTTGAAACTG